CTCCCGTCCGCACGGTCCTTCATCAGAGCTAGGCGGTCTCGAAGTGCATCCCGCAACAAGTCCCCATTCACGTTCGTGCTCCGTCGCTGCCCGCCCGCGCCGTTCCCCACAATGCCCAAGTCTACTCTACGCCGAATGCCGTTCTCATCCACCTCCCACAAAAGGTTCTCATCGAAGTCGATCCCCGCGTCGAGGAGGATGTTGTGGAGAGTGCACACGGCCACGAATTGTTGTGGCAAGGTCTCCAGGTTCGTCTTGTGGGTGCGCAAGAACAGACACCATATGCACTTCAGTCGCCCAAATGCCCTCTCCACACACCCCAGCGCCACCTTCTGCCTCGTGTCGAAGCGGTCCTCGTCAGGATCTTGGTCGATTCCTCCGTACGGCTGCACGATCCATGGACAGGCAACTGGATAACCGTTGTCGCCTAGCAGGTAACCTCGCGTGACGACACCGTGCGGCAGATTCTCCGGAGGTGCGTCGAACAGCTCGCCAGCTTCTGCACGCCTCCACAGCTGGGAATTGTACAGGACACAAACATCGTGCACACTTCCCGGGTATCCGATGTGGACGTCGAGGATCCGCAAATCCAAATCCACCACCACCTGCGCCTGCACGGAGAACTTCTGTTTGCGGTCGTAGTAGTTGTCCGAAGGTGCGCCGGCGGACTTGTCAATGTAGATGTGTGTACAGTCGATCGCGCCAAAGCAGTTCGAGAAACCCTTGTCACGGCATGCACGCAGAATCTGTGCACGTCTACCCCCAATTGGCCACTTGATCGCGTCGGGGTACGCCTGCAGCACCGCCGAAGTGACGTTGCGGACGGCCTGCAGTCCAGTTGCCCTGCCGATGCCGAAGGCTGACGTGCCGCTCTCGTACGTCTCTCCTGACGCCCACCTGTACAACGCGAAAGCGATCACCTGTGCCACTGGCAATGGCATCCTATAGTGCGTCACCTTCTTCTCCACGTACGAGGTGCACGCGGCTACGATCTGCCTGAACATGGCCATCGACATGCGCAACTTCTGTCGGTGTCGACGACGCTCCCACTGCTCTACGCTTGCACAGGACAACACACACGGCGGAGGTGAAGATGCGCCTTGCCGGACGTTGCCCCCGCTGGTCACAACTTGCGTGGAGTCGGGAGATGGATACCCGCGCCGAATGGTTCGCCAACGGCGTCTTTTGTACGTCACACGCGTCGCCTGACCGTCCTCCGCCCTTGCCGCCTTGTGTCCACGAGAATTTGAATTTGAATTTTTGAAGTTCAAGGTGACCGCGCTTTTCACCCACCCCTCCTCACCCGCCCAAGCCCTCCGCAGTGTCTACCACGGACATCAGCCAGGACCCGGCGGACATCGGCAACGTGGCTGCGTATACGAATATGAGAACGGGCCGCGGGAGACCTTTTAGGACGAATCCTAAAAGATGATTTTTAGGACTGCATGTAATGGCGCCGCACGAAATCCTAAAAAACCTTTAGGACTCGTCCTAAAAATTTTAGGATTCTTTTAGGAGTGTCTAACGAGTCCCTAACTACTAACTAGGGCGCAGTCGCGGAAGCAGTTTGTAACTGCATTTCGAACCAGTGTTGTGCCCCTGTTCACCGCTCACGGCCCGGTGAACGTGGGCCGGTCACCGGTCACGAAAAACGTGACCCGTTTTGGTTCGTAGGGGGGTGTTTTCTTGCACAGGTGTGTGGTTTATGCCAACGGGCACCTGCCCATATTTTGTTGTTTTGTTTTTAAAAAAACTGCACCTGCGACTGCTGCCCAGTTCAGAATTCGCAGAAGTAACAGTGCACTACAAGATTGGGCCGTGAGCAGTTCGAAACAGCAAAAAAAACAGTAAACTATGCTTTCCACGGCCTACCAGTTCATAATTGGCAAAAACCGGAGGTGGCCTGGCCTAGCAGGCCCTCCCTTTTTTTTGTTTTTGGCTTCTGGCGGGAATGGTTTCGGGCTGGAAAAAGATCCCACTTTGTCAGTACAGGAAAAGCCGCCCACTGCACGCCGCCCCATTTTCTCTCTCTCTCTCTCTCTCTCTCTCTCTCTCTCTCTCTGTGGGTCTGCTGCTCGACCCACCAAAGTGCGAATGTATCTAGTCCATTGTCTGAGTCAGATACATTCACACCTTTTCTTTTTGGACATGCTAATCTTCTCTGTATCTTTCCAATTCTCTCTCTCTCTCTCTCTCTCTCTCTCTCTCTCTCTCTCTCTCTCTCTTCGCCGCCCACTCCTGCTCCTGTTGGGGCTCTCTCTGCTGCCCGCTCTCCAGCCTACTCCAGCTGCCTTTCTCTCTCTCTCTCTCTCTCTCTCTCTCTCTCTCTCTCTCTCTCTCTCTCTCTCTCTCTGTCTGTGACACACACACACACGCAAACGGAAAAAAAAAAGTGACAGTGTATATATACTGTGTATGCGTGCGCAGACATATATCTATCTATCTATCTATCTATCTATCTATCTATCTATCTATCTATCTATCTATATATATATATAACCCCTCGTTTGTTGTCCTCTCTCTCTCTGCGTACGGTTTACCAGGCAGTTCTGTTTGTTATATATATATATATATATATATATATATATACAGGGTATCCTAACGGAACGTTCGGGGGCCCCCGGGCAGGCGCCCGAACGTTCGGGCGTTCGGGGTCCCGTTCGGGGGCCGAGCACCTCTAGGTTCGGCCCCCACCAAAAACCTTTTCGGGGCCTAAAAATAAGTTTTTTTTTCTGAATGTTTTTTTGTGAGTTCTCTATGATGTGACCTACACGCCTATAAATTTTGAAGCCATTCTGCAAAAAACAAATAAAAATCGTCAACGATGGGGGT